CTGTGACTATCTTTAAGAAGAAACTAGATGCTTTAATGGACAGGCAAAAAGGTGGGGGGCAATGTTGACGTTAGGTACTAGACAGTAAGCAACTAGGATAGTCAAAAAACAAAACAAAAAAATAATATATATATATAGCTTTAAGAGGGTTAGGCCTACCCTAAAATTAAGGAACGCTCGACCTCAACACGTGATATCGAAATGGGCGAAATCGCCCTCTTGATATCACTGACTCTCTTGACTTGACTCTCTTTGAGTCTAGCAAGCGTGCCACTAGACAGCAAAGCCACTGACAGACACTGCAGGCCGGACGCGCTACGGGCTCTATCTGCTTTGATAAGAGAGAAGGTTATGGCGATAAGGGGGGGAGGGGGGGATGAGGGGGGGGGGGGGGGGGATAAGGGGTGCTGACTCAACAGCGTTTGATGGGCTGCGGCCGTGAACTGGAAAGAGTGCCTTCTTCGTGACTGCGAAACGTCATTTATGAAGAGATTCCAACGCATTAATTGTTCGAAATTGGAAATGAAATGGATCCTGGTCATAAAATAATGAAGTAACGTGAAAACCAATTTTCAATCGCTACCCCCTTTCTTCAATCTCTACGGGACTCTAACGTTAGGCCTAGGCCTAACCAACAGACTGCCTCCAGGTCACGCCAAGGCCTACCTTTTTCTTTTCAAAACGCAATTCTCGACTTACGGCGTCAATTGGGCCTCTCAGGGTGAATCGTGGTCTTCCAGACATCTGGTTGCGGACGTGTAACGTTAAGCCAATCGCAGGCCTGTTCATACTATCACGAACCATTACAGAGAGGACGTGTAACGTTAGACCGATTGGAGGCCTGTTTCGCGTTTCGTGAACCATTTCAGTGGGACGTGGAACGTTAGATCTATCTAGAGCTCCTCGAACCATCTCCAATAAGTCTGAGGAGAGAATTCCCTAAAAGAGCATAGACTCCATGGTGCGCGCCATCTTGTTAATGCAGGGATGTCCGGATAACATATCTGCATATCCCACCACATCGATCAATAACTGCTATCCACCGCCTCATTCTCGGCTCAACTCATGGAATCAGCACAAAAATGTCTCATAAATTTAAAAAAAAAAAAACAGAAGATCCAGATGCCAATACGAAGGTTGAAACAGTCTTGAATTTGGCATAATTTCGGCACGGTATCCGGCAACACTGGGAGACGGTACCGGAGCAAGCACGAGCCTAATTGAACGACAGCTAATTTCATCTTTTTTGGCGAAATGGAGCATCAAACAACAAAAAGCCACTTCATGTACGATCTTCCCGAAAAAAAAAAACGGAATGAAAGTGATCTCCACAACCGCGGGGAGATGGAGCTTCAAATTTGCAGGAGTGATTCTGTGTTGAGAGAGGAAGAAGCATGCCAATTTTCGTTCCTGTTGATGCTCTCGGAGCGGAATACGAGGAGATTGAATTTTGCTGCGGGAAGGGGTTGAAGAAAGGTAAAAGGCGCCACCATTAGGCCTATGCCACCATTAGGCCTTTGCCACCATTAGGCCTATGCCACCATTAGGCCTTTGCCACCATTAGGCCTATTGATAGAAGTACTCTTTATTCCAAAAGCAATTCCAGTGGAAGCCTCTCTGTACAACCCATCGACTGCCGATGACTGACTCATAATGTCAGGAGACGAAGCTACCAAAGCAATATGCGGAGAAGTTGACGGACGACGTTCGGCATGCAGGGAACTGGCGATGCTCCGATTGCCTCTGGTGAGAGGAGCCTTATTCCTACGTATGGCCATCGATTGACCGACACCCTCACCTACACCTATCAGATCGACCTAAACACCTCCTGTGATAAATGAGAACGGGTTGTTCAAAAAATGATACCAAACCAACTTGATTCTGACCCCATGCGCTGAAAAGCATAGAGTAGGGAGTGCAACTAGAGGCGACACTTCGAAGGACAGGGGGGGGGGGGGGGGTCGAAATATTACAGAGATATGGTCGCTTAATATGATGGCTTGTTATCGACAACACTTCCGTGGTGCGTGTTTCGTGCCAACGGAAACGGGTATCCCCGAATGAGTCAAGGTAATACGCTTCTCTAGTTACGTCCGCTGCTTCGCCGTGGAGGTGCAATTCACGTGCGCACGTTCGGTGGAGGATCGACAGCGACATCGCTCTTGCGGCCCTGTCAGTGAATGGGATTCGCGCGGAGTGAAAGCCTCTCCACTCTTTGCTCTACGCTGGAAGGAGAGAACCTCCTTCTTGGGCGGGAGGAGCGGAGGGTGAGCATTCGGGAATTCCTGCCTAGACAGGGAAGGAAAGGAGGGCGAACAAAAACTATTTTGAAAATGTTTGGCGCAATCTGGAGAGTTTACAATGGCTTTTCCCTGCCGCCGAGCATATTCATACGACGAACACCGAAGTGATTTCGCTCACGCTCCGCTCATCACATCCAAGGAGGCTTTCCCCTTCCACATACGAATCGGCCTTGGACACATACACTCCGCTCCCTCCCTCCCTCCCTCTCCCTCCCTCCCTCCCTCTCCCTCCCTCCCTCTCTCCCTCTCACTCACTCGGAGTGCTTGATGGTCTCACCCTACGGATGCGTCGGGGAAGCATGCCGAAGTGGCATCACAGCCATTATACAGGGTGAGTCAAAAGTCACTGGACGACTTTGAACAGCTATAACTCGGCAAGGAAAGCATTTATCTATATTTGCAAGCGGTTTTTTTGCGCATGAAAGAGCTTGAGCTAATAAACATGAATGCAACATAGGAAAAAAAACCCCTTACCCTGGGTGCAAACATGACTAGAAACAGCCCTGTCTTCCCTCATTTTACCTGGTTGTGACTGTCATCTTGAAAAGATCTTGCTTTTTTCTTGCCAATATTTTTTCTTATCAAGTTCAACGTTAAAATAAACTGACTGCACAGAACGTTTCCAAGGACTTTATTATCGCTGGGACTTGGATTCCTGGAGGTGGTGCGTACATTCATGCGAGACACCCTCTAGGCTCTCTGATGCTGAAGCTATATCCACACGAAAAGGTTTCGAAATTTTGTCTAAAGCAGTTTGTCCAGACGTCATGTGTGATCTCATATCATACTGCAACTTGAGCATTTATTTTGCGTTAGACATTTTCCTCTGGTGCATTCATGAGCATAGATTTACGAGTATCTTACTTCCCAGTTGTAAATAAGGTGTATCACTGGCTTCGAACGTGAACAAAATTCAAAATATGCCACACGAGGACAACGCAAGAAGAATGCACGAGAAAGCAACGAGAGTTCTCTTCAGCAACCGTCGACAACTCCACGGCAGACACAACGCCACGCTTCACGCCTTGAAGATGCGGATCCGCCGAGTGATGGCCTTCCGGCAAATGGGACAATTCCGAACCATCTGCGCGCAAGGGAGGCAGGCGACCATGTGGCCGCAGTCGACAAACGCGCAGTTCAACTCCGCCTCCAGGCACAGCTTGCACAGATCCTCATCACGTGGAACGACTTCCTCATGAACCTCTGAGTTCCTTCCTTGGAAGAGAAAATATGGAGGGTTTTCAGAAACAGCATAGGATTGCCATCAAATGGACGTTCAAGACGACGCTCGAAATATAAATGAAGGCGATGCGAGAGGGCAAGCTTGAAATGCGCTCAAACTTGCATGTGGAACTCGTCTCCCCCCCCCCCCCCCCCCCCCCCCTCCCCCCCCCCAACCTTTTTATGGAACATTTGAATCCCAGCTTTCCAAAGAAGCGAACGAAGCTGAGGCTTGTTAGAGTCGACTATTGACTTGAGATGTTGAAGCTTTTGGCATGCAAGTGACTCCTCTGGCATGAATCATTTTGCCGTTAGGTTCAGCATTAATGCACATGCTTATTTTCAGAATTATATTTGGTTCTTGTGATAATCACCCCGGCTCCTCCTAAATAATAATAAAAAAAAGTCGTCACGGTATGAAAAGGGTGGCATACAGCCGATGTTCATTCCGCCGCCACGGCGCCATAAAGAGACACATTTGAATTTAAAAAAAAAAAAATTTTATTTTTATTTTTAAATAAATATTATCCATCATCATAACAATGGAAAGAACAGGCATGAACTTAATTATAGACATGTCGCCCCAAAGACTGCATCCAAGAGCGAATAATTTTGCGTCTTTGATCATCTTCACCGCAACATCATGCAGTATCGCCATTTCGCCATCGAGGCACCCAATACGACCATATCTCGACTCTTCACAATATCCACTCCGTCCGATGCATTTCGGAAATTCTATCCTTCCTATCCTCCGGTAACGACGCGAATGCAACGTTTGAATGAAGTTGTTTGAATGGGTTTTAAGCACCCTGTATTTCAGATAATCGAATTCCTGAAATCTCTCTGGAGACTATCGCATGTCACGAAGGTCAGCCCCAGAAAAAAGCTTTTTTTCTGGCGCAATGAAAGTATTCTAACAGTCAATTAATTAGTTAATTAATAGTTATAACAATTAATGATCCAAACACAGAATTCTGTATAATTTAGGGCCTTGTGGTGATATAAACTGTCGGTCCCCATCCGCTTTGATAATGTGATTCACTTTTCCCGTGAAAAAAATAAGTTGATTTGGATTGAACGTTAGAACACCAAGCACGTTCGAACGTCCTAATTAACCCTGGGACTGCCGTCCCGATGGATGCTTTCCATACTTATCAAACGTCCGCACGCTGATCCCTGAAGAAGGGGAGAAACGCGGATTGGTTAAAAGGAACAGTGGCTTTTGATTTCATCTGATTCCTGGTAATTAACCGTTCGAACACGTTTATGGTGCCAGAAAAGGTTTTTTCTAGTCAAGGGCCGAACATGTGATAGTCTCGAGAGAGATTTGAGGAATCTGAAGCACGTGGAACTCGAAACAACGACGATCCCATTCCATGCACGGCAAGCCAGAAACAGAAGATATCTGACCATTCAGCGCCCTGGGAGCTCGACCACCATTCCTCCCGGCTGCCGAACCAGCGACCCCGATGCCAGCACGGGGTGGAGGAGGGGGAGGCAGCTGATGGGGTAGACCGGGTCCGCTCGTTCCATCGTCCAGCGGATCTCCTTCCACTTCCAATGCCACTCCAGGATCTAAGTGAAAGAATCGGCTCCCGACGAAGCCCTGGATGATGTACCATCCAATGCGAAAGATCTGTTGGAAATTCGTGAGGTGCCGAGTCACTTCCTCATTGACTTGCGCTGGGTGAGAGTAAGAAACAGAGTAAAAGCCTAATTAGCCATTTCGTTCGTATTGGTCCCACTCTGTCAACGAATTTTACTTAACGAATGAATCTTTTGGTTTGTCTCCTGGACTGACTTTTTGATTTGTTTTTGTGATTTGTTTTTCTGGCCACAGTCGATCAAGGCGTAGACGTTGCAACCCTTGCAGCTTTTTTTTAAGCCATTGCCTAAGTAAAATCTTCAATAAAGCATCAAAATCGCTTCATACCGTGAAGATTTGAGATGTGGCCATATTGGCTGTTTAAATTAAAAATGGCGATGTTGCACGACATCGCAGTCAAGATGATCAAAACACAGAATTCTGTATCCTTTAGGACCTTGTGGTGACATCAACTGTCGGTCCCCATCCGCTTTGATAATGTGATTCACTTTTCCCGTGAAACGACCCATAAGTTCATTTGGATTGAACACCAAGCACGTTCGAACGTCGTAATTAACCCCAGGACTGTCATCCCGAAAGATTACTTTCCACATTTTCTAGTCAAGGGCTGAACATGTGATTCTCTCGTGAGAGATTTAAGGAATCCACTAATCTGAAGCACGTGCACCTTAAAACGAAAATGAGCCCATTCCATGCACGGCAAGCCAGAAACAGAAGATATCTGACCATTCAGCGCCACGGGAGCTCGACCACCATTCCTCCCGGCTGCCGAACCAGCGACCCCGATGCCAGGACGGAGTGGAAGAGGGGGAGGCAGCTGACGGGGTAGACCGGGCCCGCTCGTTCCATCGTCCAGCGGATCTCCTTCCACTTCCAATATCACTCCAGGATCTAAATGGAAGAATCGGCTCCCGACGAAGCCCTGGATGATGTACCATCCAATACGAAAGAACTGTTGGAAATTCGGGATGTGCAGAGTCACTTCCTCTTGGACTTGCGCTGGGTGAGAGTAAGAAACAGAGTAAAAGCCTAATTAACCATTTCGTTCGTATTGGTCCCACTCAATCAACGAGTTTTACTTAACGAATGAATGTTTTAATTTGTCTCCTGGCAAAAACCATTCTTGATTCATTATTGTGATAATAGTCCATATCAAGGCTTAGACGTTTCAACCCTTGACTGCGACAAGAAAATTCCTTTGGCCCCTTCTCTCATCAACCAAATTCCCAAAAACATGTGATGTTCCCAGCGATATATTTTTGCATGCAGTGCAATTTGCTATGCAAATTAACCTAAATCATCGGGATTGTTATGCCCTACTTTCCTGATAACGAAAAGGACAAATCATTTACGCTCTTGGGGTATATCTGGCTTGAAACCCCATGCTGTGGATATGAGCCACTTGCCCAGAAACTCATCTTGAACAAACGAACGCCCTAATTGGCGGCCATGAACTTCAAGCATTATTTTTTATCGAGGGTCTCACCAAAATTTGTGCATAGCTCACAACACACATGAAATACAATGGAGTGAATGAATTCCTGCTTTCGATTTCTTGGATGGCAAGAAACGCGGATGAAATTGCAACTTGCGAGATATATTTCAACGAAATACTTATTCATATATCTTCTTGTATTCATATATTGTCGAAGAAATATACTCTGGCATATCTTTGTTGCTCGATGAATCGTTCACTAATTAAACATAATTGCCTCATTAGGAGGGAAAACCGTATTTTTCTCTCTTGACTTCTCAACACACATGGAAAATCATATCACACAAATAATCAAATAATACGAGAACATCTTATCAAAAAAACGAAGGCAATCAGAACATTTCAACAATGAAGAAGTGTCACTAATGGATTATGGTAATTATGCTAAGAATGTAGATCATTAGTCGATTTGAACACCTGAAGAACGTTTGAACGTGGATAAAAAAAAAATTTCCATTAAAATGAGGCTTTCTTAGCCGACGCAGTTCCGATTTCAACTGCTTTCGTCTGTTAGTTTCTGGAATCGTGTAAGGGAACTTTTGAGTGATGGTATCCTGATCCCAGGAAAATTTTTGGATTGGGACTTAGTTGTTCCTTCGTAGTTAAATGTTATTCCTCCCGTCTTGGCTATGGGAAAAAGATTACGACCGAGTTTCAGGCGAGGTCCCAAAACCAAATATCTGTCCCAAAAATTCCAAAAATCTTTTCTGTCGAGAGAAAGCACCGATGGGCTCGGATCTTCAACAGCGTCGAGAACGTCTGAATTCCGCTGATGCTACAGACACTTCGAGCTCGGAAATTCGTCAGTCGAGGAAATGTAACTCACGTCTGAAATGTAACTCACGTCTGAAATGTAACTCACGTCTGAAATGTAACTCACGTCTGAAAGGGATCCTGAGCATCCGGTGATTTCGATGCTTGGATGCAGCCTCACATCTCAGGCAGAGGTCGTAATTCCGGCAATGGAGGCATTTGTAGCGACGTCCCACAACGTTCCTCTTGCATTCATCGCACATTACACCTCAATAGATAGAGATGTCATGCTTTCAGGACAATGGAAATTGACTTCTTCAAACTATAGATTCTAATTTCATTTGAGACATCAAAGTCACTCGTAGTCATTTTAATCTGTTCTGGATATAAAATATGTATTTAAAATATGTATATAAAATATATATAAAACATATATAAAATATGTATTTACGAAAGGACTACGAGTCCCCCAAGGCGAATATTAGTTTCTTTTTAAGGCCCTAGCAAAATGAAGCATAATTATATATATATAATATACCTTCTGGGTGGAGGGTCGTGGGGTTAAAACCAATGGAGCTGGCCTTGGCGAAGCGAATCATCGGATGATGAAAATGCTGCTCTCCAGACTGTTCGCATATTCTGCACAGGTCGAAGTCGGGACAAACGAGACAACTGAACCTTTTTCCTTTCACCTGTTTTCTGCAGGACTTGCACGTTACTCCTGGATGTTTTTCACCTGTTGTGAATATTAAAATTTATTTGAAAAGTTCGGCCAAAATTCGACAGGCATCACAAAGTCGTATTTTTCGTCCTCATCGTCCTTACTATTATGAGTTACATCCAGAGTGAGATGATAACACGAGAAAGCATACCCGGAGAAAACATTACAGTAATAATACAGTAAAGTCAACCATTGCTATTGCGCTACTGTTGGTCATTGCCGATTTTGGTGCTGTAACGCAGGTGGCGCTTTAACGAGAGTTGACTGTAATGACTTGATATTACTGATATCACAAATTACTATTGAACTACAGCACTAAACAACAATCTGATGGAAAACGCGTCTGAAACACAGTGCTCATGATTTTTTGCCCTCTCCGCATGAAATAAGTTCTAAACCATGGGACTTGGAGAGGACGTACTGGTTATGCCATCCAGGTCAAGCGTAAGAGGGACAACCGATATGCGAGAAGGGAGTCTGATGAAAGAATGATGCGAGTGCTTGGTCCCGCTGGCCTCGCACGTGGCGCAGAGGTCGAAGTCCCTGCATTGGAGGCATTTGTAGCGACTTCCTCGCACCGGGCCGCGGCAGGAGCCACATCGAACGCCTGTGTGTACGTCTCCTGTCAACAACAAATGGGAGAGAAATGTATGCAATGTCGAAGTGAAGATGTCTTCATTTTCAGTTTGTTGATCTGGATCAAGACCTCGCTTTCCTCTGGTTGAGGCGAAAACAAGACCCTCTCCCAAATGTTGATTTACCCAGAGCTCGTACCAAAACGCTTCAGGACAAAAAAGTAACACTAATAAAGGATCACATTTCCAAAATCCAGAACAGAAAATGGGGTCCAGGCATCACCTGGAAAGACACGAGTTATTAACAAGGACTTTGTACTACTTACTCATGAGACACTAGGTATATGTCTTCACAATTCATTAAATCAGCTGAATTTTTCTTTCTCGCTACTTGCTTCTCAATGGAGAATTGCAAGAGAAACTTTCTTGCCATATCGTGGATTGGATGGAAGTTTGTTTAGAGAACCTAAAGTTTGCCAGAGCTTCTATAACATGAAGAGTTGATGAGGGAAGGGTAAGAAAAATCCTGAGAGCTATCTCGCAGTTTGGATATGCATCAACTACTTGTCGATGCGGGTCGAAACTTCTCTATTCCATTTTTTTACGGCTGTTTTCCCTGTCCAACACGTTCTTTTCTTCCTTTGATTTTTCTCTGCCTCATTTGCTTCACTCCATCCCTTGTCTTCCCCACCCCCCCCCCCCCCCCAACCCCTAACTCCCGTACTTATGGCCCTGGCCTTTTCGAGCAGAACAGAGCAGGGGTGCCATAATAGAGATAATTAACGAATAACTGAGCTTATCGGTGATTGAGTGAATAAAAACATTAATCGCTGCATGATTGCCTGCCGTTGACCATGGTGGCCGACAAAGATGATACCATGCACGCTCATACCTGACACACGATGGAACAAACGAGTCATAGTAGTGGCGACTCGGAGAACGTTGTGGCCGGTGTGGAGGACGCCGTGTGCCTCGCACGTGGAGCAGATCATGTAATCGACGCACTCGATGCACTTGTAGCAGACGCCGGCGATCGTCTCTCCGCAGCTGCTGCATTCACCGGCTGTGTTAGGATCGATGGACGATTAGACTATTTTTAGCGGAAGGAGGAATGGCACTGCGGAGTGGGTTACCTTCCACATCCATGGCTGGATCACGGGCTCTGGCTCTCGACCCTGAATCCATCAACCTCCCTTTTTCCGTTGATCTCACTCTCTGCGTAACGGAATCAGGACGTTGCCTCTCCGTGAGTCTTACCGAATTATTAAGAGCTCGGAAAGTTTCACGGGACGGAGTGGCTCCAAATCGGCACATTCATGATTCGGTGTCTCGTCTCATTAGACCCGCACTTACGTCATTTCCAACTCCTAAACAGCACGATGCAGGGAGTCCCACCTTAACTCACTGACTCAACGCAAGAGACTCGAAGCAGGAAAATGAACACACACAGGAATAAACAGAGACGAGACGCAGTAGAGAAGTCTAGCGAGTGCGCCACGTGACAGCCAAGCCCTCGCACTGCCTGCGGCCAGATGAGCTACGGCATTTTTTTTCTTCTGAGAAGAGAGAAGGCTCGGTTGAGGAAGGGGGGTTATAGGGTCTATGCCCGTCCATGGAATGTCATTGAAATAAACGGTGCATATACAAGCGTCCAAAATAAACGTTACAAGGTAATTTAGGGATCGGCTGTGCAATTGTGATGGCATTATGACGGCCCCTTTGCTGAACGAGTCAAGGCAGCTTGAAAATGATTGGTTTGTACTCGTCGATCTTTGAGCGCTGCGCTCGTGCCACGTCAGGAAAATGCCTATTTTTGGTCTCCTGCATGCCATATGTAAAGTTCAGGTTTCCAGGGGTAAGAAATGGGCTGAGGACAATGGATGACATGGTGTAAAAAATTGCAAGAAATGCGTTCATTGAACTCTGTTCAGAGGAGAGATACCAACCGACTTCCAATAACAATAGAAGGTGAATAGAATGAAATAGAATGAACAATAGAATGAATAGAATGAACAATAGAATGAAATAATAAACGCAAAAGATGGCTCGCAGCGCTGCATTCTCTCCAGATTTTGATGGACTGTTGCTAACCTGGCAATCGGCTGTATATCGACTTCCTTCTGAGGGAAAATTGGCATCGATTGAGTACAGGAGGCATCTACTGCACTCAATCGATGCCACTCCCCCCTCATTTTCCCCTGCAAACTGGCAATTCTGATGAATATAACTTTCGTTTATAAGCAGCAGCCACGCCCCTTCCTGACAAAACTCTTTCGGCGGCGAGAGCAGAAAGAGGCTTCACCGAAGACCGAGAGAGGAGTCGCTGGACGGCGACTTTGTTGCGACTCTGCGACCTGTTGCTCCACGAAGGTCGCGGGAATGCTCCTTCGCTTTGCGAATCTCCGCGAGCAGTGAGCATCGCGCTGCGTCGAACGCGTTCGCTTCGAGAAGTGCTAAGTACGGGCTGGCGAGAAGATTGGCGTGCTGAAATCTGTTGCTTCACGCCCGCTTTGGATATTGGCCGCAAAAAAAGGAAGAAAAAAGGAAGGAAAAAAGGAAAGGAAAAAAGGAAAAAAAGGAAGTGAGATCGCTAATACTAGAAAGCGGACAAGAATGAAAGTTTCTTTTTTTTAAATGTAAATTTGCATGTTCGCAAAAGAATACCAGTGTATTGAAATTGGGGACTTGAATGAATTGTGTGGCGATGGGACCCGATTCGCACTTTTTTTCAAAGAAAGACTTGAAAGAGATCATGAAATAAGCAATTTTGCTTTCACGACTTTTCCTTCCAAGAATTTTCGTCAAAAATTTCTTCAAAGTTGTTGAAGAATCTCTGATGATGAACCCGAATTCGAACATTGAGAACTAGAAATTCTGAACCGACTGGAGGCCCAGGCGTTGGGATGGGGGAGTTCAAACACGAATGACAACTTAGGCCTTTTTTTGACCCAAACCTTTTCCGCAAGGGAATATTTGAGGATACATATATTTTCATTCCCTAATGTAGACAATTCGACATGCATCGTACATAAATAAAAAATCGGAATTCGCAACAAAGGACAGAGCACGAACATGAGAACTCCAAAAAAGAACAGAATGAGTTCCCATTCAAAATCCGATAACTTTCTCGAAACAGCCCGAAACAGTTAAATTCCAGCAACAAAGGCACACCTCACGATTTGAAGATCCGGATCCGGCATATGATGACCTTCCGGCAGATGGGACAATTCCGAACCTTCTTGGCGCAAGGGAGGCAGGCGACCATGTGGCCGCAGTCGAGGAACGCGCAGTTCAACTCTGCCTCCAGGCACAGCTTGCACAGGTTTCCGTCATCGCCTGAAACGAATTCCACAATACGAGAATACGACTTCCTGGAAACAAAATAAATCCCTGTCCAGAATCTGACATTTCAGACTTTTCAGTTGTCTTTGCTATACGAATTTCAGGGCTCGAGCATAAATGCCTGTCGTTCGAAGTTATTTCGCCTGAAACGAATTCCAGTTTGGGATATTTCTGATGTCCTTCTTTTAAAATAGGAATTTGCAGTAGAACTTCAGAAACGGCATTAAGTTGATACCGTTATTAATTGTAAACGAGACCAATGAGAGATTTAAAAAAAGAAAACTAGAAAATGGATGCTGCGATACCTCTCTCCTTCAAATCCTTTCTGAAAAAGGAAAGAAAAAGTTTGCGAGAAATAAAAGCGAACATATTCTCGTCGGCACGAAGTAACGGCGTGCGACAGGTGCTGAGAAAGCTTTCGGGAGGCAACAAGGGTCGAAAATGGCAAGAATAACTTTAACTCTACAGCCTTCCCTTGTCAAAATGAATAAGATGAAAATATTGTGGAAGAATACGACTTCCCGGACCCGAATCCCTGTCACATTTCAGACTTTCCAGAATGCAACTTCTCTTTCTCATTACGAACTTCATTGACGCACTCGTTCCTTTGCCGGAAATTAGCCTCGGCTGCGACTTTGAATGCCTTCAAGACGAATTCTAGGGGGAAGCTTATTCAAACACATCGAGATGATAATCCTGTTGCTCCTAATTCGGAAAATGCAAGAGAGAAACCCGGAGCTGTGGTCTTTTGCACTTCTTTTCTGAAATGTTATTGTTTTGTAGAAAGGAGTCGAGGAGATTACGGAAATCACACTAATCTCTTTCAAGTGAGAATTAAAGATTAGGCAATATTTCTGCGGTTCGAAAATAGACCAATGAAAATTCAGCGAAGCAAATTGTTAAGCTAAATTTCCGAGATGCGTTTGGAGGATGCAGCCTAAGAGAGATTTTGTTCCATGAGGGAGGGACCACGTAACGACTGAGACCGACCCGGCTACCACCACTTCTGGGAAAGGAGAAGCGGCAATTTCAAGTTTACAGCTGTGGATGAAGCTCATTGGTGCAGCTCGCGAAGGTCGACTAGGCATTCCGTCGAAGGTGTTGTTGGATCGTTGCTCACCTTCATCTGCCGTTCCGAAGGCTCTGCATGAAAATCCGGTTAGAGAAGTCGTATTATTGGGGTTTGATCCTTTAGATGTGTCGGCCAGACCCTTGACTATGGAGGTGGAGACGCTCGAAATTTCGTTGGTGGAGACGGACGAGCTCGAGCTCTTCAGGTCGGAGGGAGAGGAAACCTTGATGTTGGAGCCTGAGGACCCAGAAAACCTTGCTGGTGGGACCGGAGGACTCAGAGAGCTGGCTGGTGGAGCCAGATGAACTGGAAACCTTGCGGGTGGGGCCAAAGAAGTTATAGATCTTGCTGACTGAAGTGCAGGACTCGGAAACCTTGCTGGTGGAGGTGGAGGAATCACAAGTCTTGCTGGTGGAGCCGAAGAACTCAAAGACCTTGCAGGTGGAGGTGGAGAACTCAGAGACCTTGCTGGTGGAGCTGGAGGACTCGGAAATCTTGTTGGTGGTGCCAGATGAACTGAGGACAATGGTGGTGGAGTTGGAGCATCTAAAAAAATGGTTTGTGGCGCCAAAGGACTCGAAGACCTTGTTAGAGGAGGTGGAAGACTAGAAAACCTTGCAGGTAGAGGTGGAGGACTCGGAGACCTTGTTGATTGGGGTGTAGGACTCGGAAATCTTGTTGGCGGAACCAGATGAACTGAGGACAATGATGGTGGAGTTGGAGCACCCAGAAACCTTGCTCGTGGCGCCGAAGGACTCGGAGACCTTGCTAGAGGAGGTGGAGGACTTGGAAACCTTGCAGGTAGAGGTGGAGGACTCGGAAACCTTGTTGATTGGGGTGTAGGACTCGGAAATCTTGTTGGCGGAACCAGATGAACTGAGGACAATGATGGTGGAGTTGGAGTACCCAGAAACCT